CGGTAGTCGTCCCCAGTTGTTGACAAAGTGGATGATGAGCTTGACGCCCGTGCGCTCGGCCGCCTGGACGACGTAGTCGAGCCGCTGCAGACCGTTGGGCATCCGTGTTGATCGTCGAGCCCGAGGCCGCGTGGTTCTGGAACCAGACCGTGTTGGAGCCCGGGATCGAGTTGACGTCGTTGAAGCCCCAGACGCGGAGGATCTTGAGCCCGTTCGCCTTGAGGTTGTTGAACACAAGGTCCGTGTCGGCGTTGGAGAGCCCGCCCACCGAGCACCAGTAGCAGTTGGTGCCGGGGAAGTACTTGGACACGCTGTCAATGTTGAAGAGCAGGCCGTTGGTCTTGACGTAGGCGCCGCCGGTGGTGGGGGGCGCCGCCGCCGTCGTCGTGGCCGGGGGAGGCGCGGCGCGCGTCGTCGATGTGACGAGAGTTGTCGTGGCCCGCGTCGACGTCGTCGCGGCCCGAGTCGACGTCGTCGCGGCCCGAGTCGACGTCGTCGTCGGGTTGGCCGGAGGAGGAGCGGCGGTGCCTGGTATCTGGTCAGTACAAGTGACGTCCCATAATCAAGTCAAGCGTTACTCACCCGGCAGGCACTGCGAGTACCAGGGGTTCTGCACCACACAAGTCGAGCCCGCAACGCAGGTCGTCTGGCCGGTCCATCCCTGGCCACCACACTGGCCCCAGGCGCTCTGCTGGGCGGACGCGGCACCCGCGAGAGCGAGGGCTCCGGCTACGAAGGACTTCATGATGACTGGCAGAAGGAGAAGCTATCGATGGTGAAGAGCAACGACGGGGTCATATCGACACAACGACTCAAGTCGTACTTTATACGCGATCCTCGTGAGCTTCTGAGAGATGAAGATGCCGTATAGCCACGCCACGCCGGACCCAGTCGCTCCATGACCCCCAGGAGCATATAATCCCGAACGATCCTGATCGCCTACGTTTGTTATTCACGAGAGGAGAGCACTATCAGCTGGCCTGGGCCGTTCTACCCGCAGCGTGAGGCTCAGGCGAGTCCGGGGAAGGGGCCAAGAACCGGGGTAGCTGCATTGGCGTCGGAAAACTAAAGCTTGTCGTCTCTGGAAATCCTTGGCACCATCGTGGACTTTTCCGTCGAAGATTGGTACCGAGCGCCGGGCTGCATCCTGGGACGTTCTGGGTTTCGGGCTTGATGACGCTGATGTTGAGAGCCGGCCATGTTTGCTCATGGCCTGCTCTCTCGACGATTCTGCTCAAGCAGGTCCACGAGCTTGCGTCTTCTCGCGTCTTCTTTCTTCAACCCATCTTCTCGTCGAGCAGTAAAGAGCAAGTAAGCCAAGAGATCTTCCCATCTGCCTTGGTCGCGATATCCCGTCTCGGTCGCGATTCCCGTTGCGGGGCCCTTCCGAGCAGGACGGAGCGTCTTGCCCCGCGGCACCCCTTTCAGGCCCCCGATGGGTCCAGGAGACGGTTAATCTTCGTGGGAGCAGAAACAAATAAAGTGCTGCCTCTTGATTGAACGAGGTGCCGACTCTTGAGAATGGTTTCCAGGGCATGTTCGGCTGCCGTTGCCGCGCACATCATGCAGAGCGATGGTGTGGAGGTTGCTGCCGGGCTGGATAGGGTCTGGTATCGAAGCCGCCACCATCGCCGTGTGGGCAGATCTATGTAGCGTTTGACCACAGGTCTGCAGTCCAAGGGGACAGGCTGATCAGCCCGTGTCTGTCTCGAAAACGCATGTTGAAGGTGACCGTAGGGTCAGAGCTGGTGCTGGTGCTTGGCGACACTTTTGGCTATTGATTGGATACAGGTGTCCTGCGGCCTTTTAACCAATCGCGTACACCTTTAGCCTGTGTGTGAGTTGTGGCTTTGGATAAACGAACCTCGCAGAGTTTTTGCCATGGCCACAGCGAGCTGCTCTCTTGGGAACCGTGTTGATGTACATGCAATCATTCATTCTCCCACCAGAATAGCTTCCGTACTTGCGGACATCACATTCAAGCGAGCAAGGCCCGAGCAGATCCTCAAGCACAGTAAATTCAAAAAGAGTAGATGAACAGCTACGTACAAACCTCATATAATCCTGTACAAGCAGCATGGGTCCAGTGACCCGGGGTATCTCCCATCAGTCCGAAAACGCCGAAGAAACACAGCGGACGCCGCCAGTCGTACACTGCTTGCCGTCCAGGAAGAAGCATGAAAACAGAAACCAGAGAAGAAAGACGGAGAAGGCCTCGCCTCAACAGGCAAGAGAGAAGAAGAAGAAGAAGAAAAAACTTCGTGTACCAGTCTCGTCACCACCACGCCTCTCTCAACGCCTCCTCAACGCACGAGATCCGGCGAAGGGCCACGTCGCCAAGCGAGCTTCTGCCGCCTCATCCGCCTCGCGTACAGCAGCCCGCAGACGTTGCAGAGCGTGTCCGCGCCGTCGGGGCCACGCCTCCACTGCGGCGAGACGGCGGTGCCGCACTGTTGGCACAAGGCGGAATCCGCCTTTCTCTGTAGGGGGTTAGCTGTCCGCATGAGGGGTTTGGAAATAGGTAGGAGAAAGGAGGGAGCAAAGAGAGAGAACAGGAAAAGAAAGGATAGAGAGAACAATAAGAGAAAAAACATAAAAAGAGAAAGAGAATAGCAAGAGAAAAAAAAGGAAAAGAGAAAGAGAGGGATAAGTGAGAAGAGGAAAACAGAGAAGAACGCACCTTCCGAAAGCCGCTCACCCCCCCCAGCTTCTCAAGGTCACTCCTCGACGGCGCCGTAATCGTCGACCCCCGCCCCTCCTGCCGACGGTGATGCCTCGCGACCTCGGCGAGGCTGTTGACAATGTCCCTCGACAGGCGCGACATGGCGACGAGGTCGGCGGGCGTGGGGCTGCGGCGCGCGGCGGTCGGCGCGGCGGCGGGCTCGCGGAAGCGCTCGGTGATGCTGGCGAGCTCGGCGGCGCGGTAGTGCAGGTCGGCGCTGGGGCTCGCGAGGGCGCGGGCGCGGGCGCGCGGGCGGTCGGCGGACGAGGTGCTCGAGGGGGAGGGCGAGTAGAAGACGCCGGCGCGCGGGGCGTCGAGGGCGAGGGCGGCCTCGTTGGCCTTGAGGTCGGCGAGCCAGAAGCGGTGGCTTGTGCCTACGCCGCCGTCATGGCTCCGTGGAGGCCGCGGTGAGCGGTTTGGGGGAGAAATGGTGGCTGCTTGGGAGTGGCAGCTTTGGCGGTGGGCGACTGGCAGAGTCATTCAAGTTGTTGTCGATCAGGCACCCTCAGCAAGGTTGGTAGGTAGGTGTACCTTTGGTACCTTCGCTACGGTTGAGGCACGGTGAGGTAGGTACTCAAGGTAAGTAGAGGCTTGGGATGACGCGGGGTTGAATATGGGGAAAGTGTTGTTTTGGCCAATGTGCGGAAGAAAAAGGGCGAGTCGTGCAGGCTATATCGTGATGGTGATGCTGTGTTGCGCAGCAGGTTGTCGGATGGGGAAAACTCAACCTCCTCATCTCCATGGGTCTGTGTTGGTATTGGTGTTGGTGTTGGTGGCGAAACACAGAAGGAAACCGACTGGAACACGCATCAGCAGGATGGGAAAGTCTCGAAAGTCGATTCCGTCGAAGCCTGGTGGGGCGCGGATAAGACCCTGAAAAGTCCCTGCACCCACACCGAGCGTCACCTCGTTCCTCGCCCTTCTGCCAAGAGCCGACCCTGACCCTGTAGGCACCTCGATCAGGGGACAACTCCCCTGGGCACCTCCCCAAGCTCCCCTAGGGCGAGCAGCTCCAGGTGCACAGCGCTCGGGTCCTCACGTCTTTGGCAACCGTCTCGAGACCCCCGCCTCTGGTGAGCCCGCTAATGTCGTAGACTTTGTTCCGATTGGGGGAGGGCCGCTGAGGGGGGTCTCCACAGCGTTCCCCTTTAGTTGGCATTTGTCTGGTAATAATGAGTGGGGGGTTGCGCTGTCAGACTTCATCAGTCCACCGCCTGGTCCTATTCGTTCTGCTGCGGCCAAGTTCCAGTGGTAGTACGAGAGTGGCGAGACCACCTTGCACACGACATGCCCGTTGTTTTGAGGACCAGTATGTCCTTTTTTCATCATGCGGAGGTCCCGCCAACTATTGCTGCCGTCGAAAGATGCATCGACTGGGACCTCCGCCAACTATTGCTGCCGTCGAAAGATGCATCGACTGGTGAACGAGATAAAAAAGCCCCCATTCTAGTCGATCCTAGCATCGTAAACGAGCTTGCACCTCGACAATGAAGATACTCGTCGCTGTTTCTCTACCCGAAGACTGCAATCCTACAAAAATGATACATGTACACCAACGGCATGGGCGTTTCAGAGACACGCTGCTCCGCCATGTTGTCCTCCACTGTTTACCCACGTCTTGAATGAACCCCTCTCGTCCCCGAGCGGAACAGATGATCCGCCTGTGGCACGCGCTATTGATGTGTGATTTGGCCTCTTGCTCACGCCGGCCCGCGAGCTTTGACACTCTTTCCTTTTTCCTTCTTTTGCCAGCCCTTTGCCTGATCCACTCTGAAACCGTCACCCATCTCGCCATTCTCGACAATGGGCTTTGAGCCTGTCGCTTCGAGGCAGCAGAACCCGTGTAATTTCCTCTTGTTTCCTCTCTGCAGGCGGCAGTCTCTCTGCTCTCCCGTGCCGTGTTGGACGCGGGTGTTGCTGGGCTTCAACGTCAATCGTGCTCACTGCTACGCCTCTGCTGTCATTGGTACCAGGCCAAGAAGGAGAAGGGCATGTTCGTGAGACTCGTCAACAGGCTGTGTTGTCGAATGGCCTCGCTCTCGATGCTGGCGCGCCCAGCGCGGCCTCGCTTGTGGCGACACTCGTGCATACGATTTCCCTAAGGAATGCAGAAATCAACCCAGCTGCCCAGGTAGTCCAGCCGGTTACCGGCAATCTCGTGGGTCTTGTAAATGTCCTCAAACTCCTCGAAGCTCAGCTTGCCCCAGCCGCCACGCTCCTCGGCCTCCTTTTCTGCCATGTCGAGTCGCTTGTAATTGATCAGCTTAGCGTGAGAAACTTCCTCGTCCGCCTCTTCAGAAGACCCCTTGACTGTCTTCAGTGTCGATTCGACTTCTTTGCCAGGCGTGCTGGCCGCTGTCGCAACGTCCGTCTGGGCCTTGTCATCGTGGGGCTTGACATCACTGTTCGGCCGGAACTGGGGCATGGTTGGGTCTTGGTGGGGCTCCCGGGGTCCTTCAACAGGCTCATCTTCCGCGTCCTTCGCCTCATCAACGGACCCTGCTGCTGGTTCCTCGCTGACAGGCTCAGGCCTGGCTTCAGGGTCCGCTGCAGATGCAGTGTTCGGCGTCGTTTCGGGCACCAGATCTGTGTCGACCGTGTAGCCGCTGACGTGGAGCAACTCGTCCAGAGACCGGCCTTCAGGTTGTCTCTTCCGGATGACGGGGCTGCCTTCGGCAGAGGTGTCATCAAGCTCCTCGGCGTCATCAAGATCTTCGACGTCAATGTCCTCAAACAGTGACCGGTATTTGTTCCTGGACGCTCGTGTTTCGGCAGCCTCAAAGGCGAGCTCTTCCTTTTTCTTGAAAATGGCGTCCAGCAACTCATTAAAAGCCTGCTGCGTCACCTGGTAGAGGATCTCCTTGCCCGCATCCCGCTCCTCGTCCGGGATTCCAAAGCTGTGCGCTGACTGTGACCAATGGGACTGGGTTTCGTGCTCTGCCCCATCGTCCGCGAAGCGCACTTTGGACGACGATCTAGACCGGGGTGCCGCCCCTGAGCTCTGGGCCGCCTTGGAGCTGCCAGGCACACCGTTGAGATTAGCAAGCAAGTCTTCGTCCTCGTTCCAGCCTTCGGGCGCCGCGCCACCCTCCTCTTCGTCAAGATAGAAGTTGCGTCTCTTCCACCGCTCGTGGAGCAGCTTTCGTGTCTCCGCACGACGGTTCCTATCGCCAGAACCCAGTCGTCTCCGTTCAGACATGAAGCGGGCTCGTAATTGGCTCTCGGTCGGCATTGTGCTCGTGTACTGGCTTGGGTCAACTCTCGATGGTGAGGAGTCATCTCCGTTGACGACCCGCAAGCCGTCTCCTGCTTGGGCACGGGTCTCCTCGTCCAAACGATTGGCGGGAGCACTCTCTTCCTCGGGACTAGTCAGTTCGGCATCATCCAGATCCTCCTCATCCTCATGGCGTCGAGAACCTATCAAGAGGGCGGGAAGCTCATCGAGGGTACGTGGTGGATCGAGAAGAGCATCCCAGTATGGCTGACTGTCGGGCGAGCCCATCTGCGTAGGCCACGATGTGTGGCCAACATTCATGTTGCCAGTGGCAGCGAACAAGCGCGTCAGGACGTCTTCCCTCGCTGAGGTGTCGCCTCGATCCGCATTGATGACTTTGGACTCTCCTTCTTCCAATTCCACGTCCCCGTTGGGGTGGAAGACTTTGCCTTCGCCGGTCAGATCACGATTGTCGCGGGGGACACGTGCTTCACGACCAAAAAGACTGCTCAGGGGCTGCCGACTGGTGACGAGTTGCTGAGCTTCCTGACTGCCCATGAGCTGGTCATCGAGTCCGTCGAGGATGTCGCGATGCATCTGCTTGTACAGCACGTAGTATGCGCGGAACATGCGTAGAAAATCACGGCGGTTGACAAATCCATCACCGTCAATGTCGTAGCCCTGGAATATCCTGCGCAGCTTGTCGCGGCGTTTTCGGTACGCTAGCCCTTGCAGGAACTCAGCAAAGCCAATGAGGTCGTCGTTGTTCGTGTCGTAGAAAGAGAACATGCGGTCATGTATGAGATTGGGCGTGGCGTGTCGCGATCCACCCGAGGGCACCAGGCATCGTTCGAACGTCTTTTTATCCATGGCGAGTTGCAGACCATCAGGATCCTCCCTCCATTCCGTGTTGGCCATGAAGGTGAACTGCTCCCAGAAAGCCTCGATCTCGGGTCGCTCAAAGCCGGTCTCCTTGCTGAGCTTATTGATGAGGCCCCGCGGCAGGTTCTTGATACAGGTGTCTGGGTCACCGGCGTACCAGACGGGCTGCATCTGACGGGGACCGAAGGGAGGGGCAGGGATCCTGATCTTGTAGAATATGTGAGTCCTGATATGGACGCCTTGGGATTCACACGTCTCGCAGAGGTCGAAATCGGCGCAGTTCGCGCACCGATACCTCACGCCTCTGATGGGCACCATGCCGCACGAATTACAGGCGCAGCCACGATGCACACAGGCGTTGCGACGGGCATTGTCTTCGGAGACGCGGAAGAGAAGGCTGACAATGTTATGACCAGCGCGAGCCGGCGGCTGCATGACGAGTGGGTCGTTCCACCACTCCTCGACAAGTGTCTCCCCGTCGTTGGCAGCCTGGGCGGATTCAAGGGCATTATTCTCATCGGTGTGAGAGGCGTAGGAGGAGGCGGAGGCCCTGCGGGAGCGTCGTGAGCGTCGGACGGCATTACTTCGATGGAGCCCTTGGCCGATCAGAACATTGTCATAGTCGCCTTGAGACTGCCATGCGTAGTAGCCTACAGACGCGGCCGCGATGGCGGAAACGACGGCGACGGCGATTCGCGGCCGCGTAAGACTGTCGGAGGATGGCGCGAAATGCCACATGTTGCTCGTTAGGATCTACGGGAGGACATGTTCGACAGAGCAGTCTCGTGATGTGGTGTCGTTGTAGCAGGGAATGCCCTGGGGTTGTGGGTGGTTGTCGAGGGTGCGTTGTCGTCAATGATCAGGTTCGATCCTGTGATGCGATGGATGGTCTGAATGGGAATATTCAAGAGGCAAGCTCGACGCATAGGAACTGCGCTGTGACTCCTGCCAGCACGGAGCCAAGAGCTCCCCCGAACGGCAGGCGGTGAACGCGACCCTTGGCACTGTACTTGGGGCTCTTGCTTCCCTCACCACTCAACATGATGTCACTCGGCACAACCCCAGAGAATAGGTACCTACGAGGTACTTGTGGCCTGCCACCCGTCACATGCAAGATCTTAACTTGAAGATACAATTTGACTGCCTAGGTCAATTTCACTTTTTTTAATCCGATGTGGTTTATCTTGATATGCAGATGTGTCAAGCTACATGCAGTTGCTGGGCAGGATCTCCTACGCACCTCATGGAGTGACTGGTGGCACCTGTCGAAATAGCGAGCCGAGGCACTGCCTAAAGGGGGAAAACACTGTGAACACCATCCCGCTGCTGCCGTACCCTCCAACTTCACTCACAGTTGCTGTCTATCACGGCTGCTGCCTCTCTGAACAGATACATGAACGGCACGAGCCCAACCAACACCTAACAGGACAAACAAATTTTGCGACAGAGATCTTGCGATAGAAATTGAAACCCAATCTATTCATCATCGCCTTATCTGGTTCTGTCTGACGCTCTTATCCTGTCATTATCGCACGTGCATCTTTGCCTGTCACCATAGTTAAACCGCCACAGGTTCACAAGACAATTGCGCAATATCAGAGTCTACATACGAAAGCAAGAACCGGGTAATCATGGCAGAACCGTGAGATATACAGGAGAACATCGATATCCGCGCTTCATGATACTGACAATGTCCAGAAACCCCTTCCCCTCTGCTGAGGAGACGATCAATCACCCCGCCTATCCTGGGGCCGTCTGGAATCTTGAGCCTCACAAGAAGGGCCTCCTCCCCTGCGCCAAAGACCGCGGCGGCCCGGTCAACATCTCATGGGAGGTTCACGGTGATGGGCCCCGCAAGATCATTGTGCGTCGCCCGAGCCCCTATCACCTCGTCTCACCTCTTTGCCCTTGCTAACCCTCCCAGCTCATCATGGGCCTCGCTGGTCTCGCGACATCCTGGCAGCGCCAAACCAAATATTTTGGCCACGACCACGGCACTGAGAACTCCGTGCTCCTCATCGACAATCGCGGCATCGGCCTCTCGGACAGCCCCCTGCAGCGCTACACCACGTCGCAGATGGCCCGCGACGTTCTCGAGGTCGTCGACCACCTTGGCTGGACGGCCCCGCGCTCCCTCCACATCACGGCCATCTCTCTTGGCGGCATGATCTCGCAGGAGCTCGCCGTCCTCATCCCGGAACGCATCGCTTCCTGGACCCTCTTCTGCACGGCTGCCACCATGGAAACCAACAAGACCATCATATCCACCCTGCGTGAGCGCCTCACGCTCCTCGTTCCCAAGTCCGCAGAGCAGGCCATCCGCGAGACCGCCGACCGCCTTTTCACCAACGACTGGCTCATCGCCCCGGATGAGGCCGCCGATGTCCCCATCCCCGGCACGACGCCCCGCTGTGGGCCTCCGCCCAGCGGCGATCGCTACGTCCCCTTTGTGTCCAACTACCAGCGCTTCCAGGCGCAGGAGCTCACGAAGCGGCTCGACAAGAGGCTCTTCTCCGTCAAGGGGTTCCTCATGCAGCTCGTTGCCGCAGGCTGGCACGACAAGTCGCCTGAGCAGCTCAAGGCGCTGGGCGACATTATCGGTCGCGAGAGGATCGCCGTCGTGCACGGCGATCGAGACAACATGATTGACCTGCGCCTCGGCAAGCTGCTCATGGAGCGGCTGCAGCCGTCGGTGGCGCTCATCGTCGAGGGCATGGGTCATGCCCCCGTCATGGAGAGGGTCGAGTGGTGTCGGGATTTCATGGCGGAGCGGATGGCGGTCGGAGAGAGGCTGAACGAGACATCCGAAACTTAAAAAGGGGACAGACGGCAAGTGTTTCACGACGAAGACAGACATGGAGCGGCGACGACTGTTGGACGATTCCTGGACATGCTTGTTGTGTTCTTTTGTACTAGCATAACATCCACGCTATGTCCTGGCCGATTTGGCCTCCTCTGCTTCATCATGATCATCAAGAAAAGGGCATTGCAATCCAATTTTTTGTTCTTCTAGCATGATCGGCCGTCTACAGCATTGCCAGACCGATACCGCTGAGGTCATCCTCGTCGAGACGGTTCCTGGCGTCGACGCCGCCCTTGATGGGGTTGGCGCGGTAGTTGAAGAGGTAGAAGTGGAGCTGTCCGTCGCCGGGGCCAAACTTTTGCTGCTCGAGGAAGAGACCGTTGTCCATGATGGACAGGGCGTTGAAGACGTCAAACTTGAACCTCTTGGCGAGGACGAGAGCGTCGGCGGCGAGCGAGTTGAGGCGCACCTTGAGGGCGTTCTTGTCAAAGGGCTCGGCGAGGCCGACCTTGCTGGCGTAGTAGAACATGTAGGCGGCGCGGACGTTCTGGTGCTTGGTGTTGCCGATGACGGACGACTCGAGGCAGTAGAAGGAGAAGATGTCGGTGATCTCCTTGTTCTCGTCCTGTTTCTCGGTCAGACACGCGGCCTCTTTTCTCAGCATGCAGTGGTGGAAAGACGTACCTCGACGACGTAGGTCCAGATGACCTGCTCCTTGGCCGCTTCCTTCTTGGGGATGAACCAGTGGACAAACTCCTCGCGATCAAACTCGGGCCACAGGTCGTAGCGTCCCATGTACCGCTTCAACAGGTCAAGCGCGGCGTCGACGTCCTTCTCCTGGATCTCCCGCAAGCCCTTGGTAGAAGTGTGGTCGGGGAGCTGGTACTTGCGGACCTGGTACTGCGGCTTGCTGTTGGGCGGCAGGGGGCTGAAGCCGACCTCATACAGCTTCTGCCAGTTGATCGCGCGGTGGTAGTAGCGGCACGTGCTGACGGGGGTCGGCAGCACGACGCCGGCCGTGTAGAGGCCCTGCCAGATCTCGCGCTCGTTGCTGCGCCTCGTGATCTCCTTGATGAGGACGGGCGCGAGACGCTTGCCGCGGAGCTTCTTGTGCACGCAGATAAAGTTGACCTCGGAGCAGAGAATGTTGTTGTTGCGCACGCGCAGGTTGACGGGGATGGCGGAGATGAAAGCGACGAGCTTGCGGGACTGCGACGCGCGGACACCAACGTGCCACTCCTTGCGCCAGCCGGTCGCCATCCACGCCCTGAGCATGTTAGCATTTTTTTTTTTTCGTCCGCCTCTTTGGTTTTTTTTTTAGGGGGGGGACAGAAACGCCCCCCAAGTGTGAACTTTACCTCGTTTGAGGATGGGAGGTGGGAGTTATTTGAAAGCGGGAAATATACCCCCTCGCCTTCCCTTCTATGTAAAGCGCGGTTCCAGCAGTCTTTTTTTTTTTTTTTTTTTTATCTTCGGTGTG